AAACATGAGTTTTAGTAACTTTCTCATTGCTGAGATATAATGACATCCTTGTAAAAGTTTTAGTCCATTGTTGGCTGGCCCCAAGGCAGGACAGCATGGCACAGAGGCATAGCTTCCAGGAAGCAGGGAACATCAAAGGTGGAGCCAGGAAAGAGATAAATCTTTACAGGGCCCACCCCCAATCCTCCCCTCTATTGACCAGACCCTACATACTAATATCAAGTCAGCTATACAGCCCCAATAATCCAATCACTTTCCAAAATCCCACCAATGATCACATGAAATTTTAGGGGGGATATGTGGATATAAACCATAATGTTCCAACCCTGGCCCTCAAAATACTCATGTCCATCTCTTTATGCAAACTGCATTTAGTCTATCTCTAAGAGTTACCAAAGTCCTAACAGTTCCAGCACTGCTTACATGTCCAAGTCTAGGGCTGGGGATTTAGCTCAGTGGCAACAAGCCTGACTTCCAAGCACATGGTCCTGAGTTCAATCCCCAGTACCTGCTAAAGAAGGAAGGAAGGAAGGAAAGAAGGAAGGAAGGAAGGAAGGAAGGAAGGAAGGAAGGAAGGAAGGAAGGAAGGAAGGAAGGAAGGAAGGAAGGAAGGAAGGAAGGGGGGTGGGGGAAGAAAGGAAGAGAAAGAAAAAAGAAAGAGAAAGAAAGAAGCAAGCCAGCTCAAGTTTAATGTGTTCTCTTAAGACTTAAGGCAAACTCTCAGCTGTAAACACCTGTAAAAAAAATCAAAAGTTAAACACTACCAACACACCATGGCTCAGGGTACACATTCCCAAAAGAAAGGAAGGTCCAACAAATTAGACCAAAACAAGATAAAAATTCAGGGGCTCGGGATTTAGCTCAGTGGTTCTGCCACCTGCCTTGAAAGCACAAGGTCCCAAATTCAATCCCCGTACAAAACAAAACAAAAAAAAGCCAGGCGTGATTGCACACACCTGTAATCCCAGCACTGGGGAGGCTGAGGCAGGAGAATCACTGTGAGTTCGAGATCAGCTTGGGCTACATAGTGAGTTCCAGGTCAGTCTCAACTACATAGTGAGACCCTGTCTCAAAAAACAAAACAAACAGGGCCGGGGATTTAGCTCAGTGGTTCCATCGCCTGCCTTGTAAAGCCCAAGGACCCGAGTTCGATCCCTGGTGCAAAAACAAAACAAAACAAATCAAAATTCAGCAGGCAAACACTAAATCCTGTTGTTATATCCAGCACCTAGGGGAAGTTGTGGCAAGATGCAATCTCCAAAGGGCTTGGGTGGCCTTGCCCCTATCCAATTCCTGGTGGTTAAAGCCCTCATAGATTCTCTCTTGGGCTGGTTTTGCTCATTCCTTGCTTATTCCCACTCTGAGCCCAGGCTGGCCTCAAAGTCACTGAGATCCTCCTGTGTCAGCCTCTGCAGAGCTGGAATTACAAGCATGCACCACCATATCCAGCATTTGGCTTCTTTTTAAAATCACTCTCTGCAGCAGTCAAACTCTCCTCAGCTCCATCTTTGTGGGCCCCAACTTTATAGAAGCTTCCTTTCTGGTGAAACTCAAAATTTTTAAAATCACTCAGCTGTGCTGTTGAGCTAGCCAAAAGCCCCCCACAATACCCATGCCACAACCTGGATGTTGGGCTTCCTTGAAATTTCCTCTGCCAAATGTTAGCCCACAGTCCTCAATCGTTCTCCTACAAAGTATGAGGACTTGAGTAAATGAAGACAAATTTTCTGCCAGAGAGTAACATACATATATATGTGGTCTTGAGTCTAACTGCTGATGGGAGTTTTTGTTCCCAATTGAAATCTCACCCTGGTCTTTACTATCTGCATTTCTATCAGCATTCTTGTCTTCTGAGCTCCAACCAGAATCTCCTATTAAACTTGCCTCACAGCATTCTAGGACTGCTTCTCCAGCACATATCTCCAAAAAGTTCCAAACTCCTTTCACAAATCAGTTCTAGTTCTTTTTTTGGGGGGGCGGGGACAGGGTCTCACTGTATAGTTTAGGCTGGTCTCAACTTGCAGCAATCTTCCTGTTTCAGCCTCCTGGATTACAAGCATGCACCACCATATAGGGCTCAAAATAATATTTTAAAAAGACTGAGATGTAGCTCAGTGGTAGAATTGTAGAAGGCCCTAGGATTTAATGTCCAACACAGAGAAAAAAAAAAGTAGATCCTGTTAGTATTACTGTTTTATCTAGTAAAGTTTCCTCACCATTGGCCTGTCATATACTGATTATTTTATTATAGATTAGACTTGGTAAGTGCCCTCAGTTGCAAGATAATTGAGTAGATGCTAAGTAATTATTTGCCAAAGGTTTCATTGTTATAGTAACTTAGAAATGCACTGAGAGTTCTCTGCAATTCGAATACTCCCCTCTAAACAAACAAAACAAAATGACTATCTATCTGATAGTAGAGCTCAGAAAATACACACAAATCCATGAGGCACTTGGCAGCCATATTTAAGAAGAACTTTTTCACAACAGTTTGCTCACTCAAGAAGTTATTCACATTTACTTTCAAGGAACAGTCCCACATCCCACACAAGCCTGTAGAGGGCAAATGGTAATTGGTCCCTTACATCTCTATCTGAATTTTGGCCTCTTTCTTCCTTCCACCCGAGTCAACACTAAAGCAATGGGAGTTTCTACATAGAACCAAATTTTCACGAAGCCTTCCTGACAGAATCTGATTAGTAATATTGATTTTTCCCCATAGATTATGCAGGCTTCTGATAATATCTCATTATCTTTAAGGTATCTACACAAAGTAACTACACAGGTGCAAAATGTCAATAAAATGCACTGCCATTATATCTACAGTAATTCTCTGGCATTCATTTATGCACCTAAGACAAAGCTTTCTTCCTTAAACTGATTTGACATATTTTATTTCCAATATATCTTATCTCTCTGTGAGGGGGAATCCTGCTACAAAGTCAAATATACTCTGACAGTTTTATCAGTCTAGCAACACACTGACTTTAGTGGTCCAAATCAGGGACCACTTTTTGGAAAAAAAAAAAAAATCAGCTGGGCATGGTGGCTCACACCTGTAATCCCAGCACTCAGGAGGCTGAGGCAAGAGGATCACTGTGAGTTGAGACCAGCCTGGGCTACATAGTGAGTTCCAGGTCAGTTTCAACTACATAGTGAGACCCTATCTCAAAACAAAACAAAACAAAAAACAAAACAAAAAAAAATCACATAATTTTTTCTCCCTGTTATGTTTTTTTTAAAACGGTACTGGGGATTGACCTAAGGGCTTTCACACTGAACTAAAACTTCAGCCCTCCTTCCTTCCCCTGTTCCTTTTTTAAAATTTTGAGACAATTTGGCTAAATTGTTTAGGTTGGGCTCATATTTGGGGTCCTCATACCTCAGCCTCCTAGAGTCTTGGGATTACAGGTGTGTAGCACCACAAAGGGCTCATATTGCACATTTTTAAGGCTTTTGTTTGGGGTAGGGGTTAGGCCTTTTTTTTTCCTTCATTGCTGTCTTACTATTGAGTTCTAAAATTATTACAGAAATCATATATTCAAATTTTCTTTGTAAATAAAAAAATAATAATTAGACCAGACTGATCAGTCCATAGAAAAAGTGGGACAATCAGGTTGTAAGACAAACAACTTTCTTAACAGAACCTTCATCTGTAAAACGGGGATGCTACCAACAGAACTGCTTGCTAAAAATTTTCATCTCCTGGTCTAGACAGATTTTCTAAATTCCCAGCCCAAAAGCAGTAATTTTTTTTTCCAGTTTTTTGTGAAACGAATGGCCTGAAAACTCTTTTGTTCTCTTGTGCAGCTTTTCAAAAGGAAATGGCTTTCTTAATCAAGAATGAATCTAGCTTCCCTACTCAAAGACAACCATCTTCTCCATATCATCTACATCACAGTAACATTGTAAGTGTCTTTTCTAATTTAAATGCTGCTCCCTTCAAATGAAGGGCTATGGCTATGGGGTCTTCCTTCAAAGGCCTTTGAGCTTCATAGGTCACAAGGGTGGTATCTGGACTCGGTTCCTTTTCTTCCTTAGATGCCTTCAGCATGACACTGTAGGAACAGTGAGTATCAATAGTGTAGTTTACAAACAGCCCTGGTGCCCACCCAATGTAGTTTAATTTTTTTCTATTCCTGTCCTGTTCTTTAGATCCTGCTGTGGTCTGGAAAAGTAACTGGAAAGAAAGTTACTGGAAAGTAACTCCACATAACCATTCTCAAGCTCTCTTCTTCCTTCACCATTCAAGAATGACAGGCTTTCATAGTGCCTTACTTCACCTTTTGTCTCAAGTCCATCTGCTTCTAGTCTGAGCTTCAAAGGTAGGATAGGGACTGGTCAAAGGGTACCCAGGGGTCGGTACAGCCTAGCCAGGCCCTTCTGATTTATCTCAGTTGTCACCTGAGCACCTGTTTCTCCTCTCCCTCTCTCCTTTTTCCTTTTTTGAGACACTGCCCAGACTGGCCTGAAACTCGTCGTCGTGGTCCTCCTGTCTCAGCCCCCCAGCCATTGGGATTACAAGGCGTGAACCATCACGGCCGGCTGAATACTCGTTTTTTTAAATATAAATTTATCCCCTAAAAGTCCCATCTAATTCTGAAAGAGGATGGACCAGCTACCGCATGAGCCCTTTGTCTGAGCCTTGCACACTACTCACATCCTCATCCATAAGCGTCCAGCCTCACACAGGTAGGGAGTCTGCTCAGCACATGGCGGGGGGGAAACTACGTTTTCGTCTCTGTAGAGGGATGGGCTATGCTCGAGGTCCCCCGGAATCTAAAATTCTACAAGGCTATCACCAAATGTGCAGGTCCCATTTCTGTGGTGAAGACGAACCCTCGCACCTGGGCGCGTGTGCTAGAAATTAGCACAGCCCCCTCCAGCCAGACTCTGTTTATCCAACCCAGGGCGCCAGGCGGAGGACGAGGCCCCGGGCCAGCTCGCGGCCGAGCCTTGCCCTCCTTCACCCTCGCCTGCCGCCGCGGGCCGCCTCTCACCTGGCACGCTGGCATCGCCCGCTCCGCGCCGCAGCCGACACCATGGGTCCGGTCGGGTCTCGAAGGACACCCGTCAGCCTTGAAGGAGACTGGCCGGGATGAGCAGGCACCGTAATCTAGCGCCCGGACACCGTGAACACGCCGCCTGGTTTCTAAGGAACCGGGGGCTCTGGAGGGGAGGGGCGGGACAGAGGGAGGACAGCGCATGCTCCGTGAAGGGGGTGGACCGGCGAGGGGAGGGGAGGGGCTGGGGCCGGGAACCGCGCACGCTCGCTCGTTGGGGGCGGAACCTAGACAGGCAGACGAGGGAGTGCTGGTGTTGTATTTCCGGCAGCGGAAACGGTGTGCGAATGCGCTTTCACCCTTGGTTTTTCTCGGGTAAATTGTTCGTAGAAATTGTGGTCGACTTTGGTTTTCCTGTAAAGAAGCAAAGTTTTGTTTTGGACAACGACCTATCATTGCAGAAGGCCAGGTCTCTCGAACTTGTCGGATTTCCTGGCTTCTAGATTTCCAGTGACTCGCTTTCCTGTTTTTCATATTCCTGTCTGGGCTCCTCTTCCTCTGGATGTTTTTGTTCCTTAAATATCAGTACCCTTTTAGGCTGTGACCTCAGTCCCCTTGACTTTTTTTCCCCTTTGTACTGGGTATTGAACCCAGAGCCTGGCGCATGCTACAAAGTGTTCTCCCACTGAGCTACACCCCTCAGCCCTTTTATTAATTTAAAATTTTTTATTTTATCCCATTCCTTCCAAGTCCCCTTCCCTCCCTATGTACAGAAGCTTTGTTTCAACCTTTCCCTTCTATCTTCATTTTTCTGGTCCTTTCCTTTTTCCCTCCCTCCTTCCCTTGTTCCCTTTTTTATTTTCTATTTTGAGAAGTAGCCTTCAACTTGCAGGCCTCCTGCCTCAGTCTCAGCTGAGCCTCAGCCTTAGCTGGGATTAGAGGTGTGTGCCACTGCACCAAAACCTCTTCAATGGGACCCATGTTGTCCTAACTAAATAAATGTTATAGCAAGGCTACCCTTTTGATTCACCATACTACTGAAGTACTAAAGTGGGTAGCCCTTAGTGTGAAAGTAGCACTGTAGGAAATGTGATTGGAGTTATTTTCTGCATGAGGAGGTTTGTGCCTACTTGTCTGACTCACTTGATGACTCCTGGGCTCCCAGTTGACTGCATCAGGAGGTTCTCCAGCCATCATTCCAAAGCAGCAATGGGGTGAGGACATGACCAGCTGCCCAACTGCAGAGCTGTCCCTTGGATCTTAGCTAGAGATCTTAGCGAGTGTGTTTGTCATTCAAAGCTCCATGCTTCTAGAGCAGATTCTGTTGGGTCTGCTAATTATTTGTTGGGAGCTATTTGCATCCCAGCCTCTACTAGATGCCAGTAGGACCCCAATCCCACTTGCAACTACCTTTAGACACTGCTGAACATTTCTCTGGAGGCAAAATCATTCCCTTTTAGACACCCCCCCAAAGAAATGAAAACCAATAATCTGGAGGAAAATAAACCTACTCCAGCTTTTACTTATGGAACCAGGACTTTAGTGTTTAACCTGATGTTCCTTTCCTCCTCCTCCCCTAGTTCTAACTTAAGAATCTTTAGGTTTGAGGGTGTAGCTCAGTGGTAAAGCACTTGCTCGGTACTGAGTTCAAGACCATAATACTAAAGAAACAAACACCATACACACACAGCACACAAAGATCTGAGCTGTATGCAGCTGGGTGGTAACAGCACTTACCTAGCAGCATGCATGAAGTCTTAGGTTCAATCCCAGGAGACAGACAGACAGACACACACACACACACACACACACACTCACCCCGCCTCAATCTGTAGAGTCAATAGTACTATTAAGAGGGAACAAAGTAATACAAATTTGAAAAATACAGGGTTTTGCAATACATCTTAACACTTTTAGCTAGCTACTTAATATTCATGATCAACATCCAAGATTTTTTCTTGATTACTACACCTCTGAGGAACTTTTTCAGAAACTATATTTCCCTGAGATAAGTTTTTTTCCGGTACCAGGGATCAAACTTAGGACCTTTTGAGAGGCATAAGTGGTGCCACTGAGCTAAATCCCCAGCCCAGAGATGTAATTTTACATGCTCTTCAACAAACCTTCCTACTCCACTGACTTAGCCACTATCTCCTTCCTTATGTTCCATGTTATGTACCTTGCCACTCACTTCAAAGCCTGCATTCACTGCCTTGTCTGTTACATCTCCCTTGTGCCAACATTAATCTCCACAGTTTTCAGCCCTGCTCTCTTCTTTGTGGCCTACTACAATAGCCTCCTACCTAGTTGCTTGGCCTCCTAAGCTGTTTCCAGTTCCACTTCCAGGGGGACACCAGTATGGTCCTCTGAATCCTTCTGCATAAAACCATGACATTATGGGGTCAGAGGAGGCAGAATGAAGTAGTGGTCAGACACATCACGAACATTCTCATGGAAGGAGAGTGCTCATAAGTACTGCATCCCAATATGCCAAATACTATTGTGAGTATGCTACCATCCCCTACTTCCACAGGACGGATGGATGAACATTTTAAAAATGGCAAACTGGCCAGATGTTGGAGACTCATGCCTGTAATCCCAGCACTTAGGAAGATTGCTGCAAGTCTGAAGCCATCCTGAACTATGTAGTGAGACCTTGTCTTGAAAAAAAAAAAAAAGGAAAATTGAAACTCAGTTTTTCTGTGGTCACCAAGTTAGTAAACATCTGAGTTGGGATTTAAAGCTCAGACTGACAAGGTATCCTCCTCAGGGGTGGGGATCTTTGAAATGTAGTTAACTCTGTGTGTCCACGAGGTCTGCACCTGTGGGTTCAACTAACATCTCACACAAAATACTAATGAAGAAAAAAATCATGTTTGGTGTACCTATACCTGTAGTCCAAGCACTGTGGAGGCCGAAACAGGAGAATTCCAAGTTCAAGCCAAGCATGGACAATTTACCAAGGCCCTGTCTCAATAGCTTAAAAAGGGGTAGGACTGTAGCTCAGTGTGAAAGCCCTTGTACTACAAAAAAACGAACACAAAACTTCTATTGAACATGTATAGATTTTGTTTCCTTTGTCATTTTTTGTTGGTATGATCCAGGCTGGCCTTCAGCTATTGTATCCCAGGTTAGCCTTAAACCATACAGGCTTGAATACCATGCCTGGCTTTTGTCATCATTCCCTAAAACAATAACAACTGTTTATATTGCATTTATATTAGGTGTGAGAAATAATGTAGAGACAATTTAAAGTATATTAAATATATGCAGGTTATATGCAAATATTACACCATTTTAAATAAGGGACTTGAACATCCAAAAAGTTTGATATCTGTAGGGGTATAAGGGGTGGCAGTCCCTGGAACCAATGCTCATGGATACCAAGGGATGATTACATTCTTAAAATCTCATTTTTTGGGAAGACCACCTGTGAGCCATCTTCTGAACTTGAATCTGCTGTTTTTCTTGTCTACAGTGAAAACAGTTTCAGGGGAAAGAATGTTTGTTTGTTTTGACATGAGGTTTTGCTATGTAGCTTAGGATGGCCTTGAACTTACTAGCCTCCAACTTGTGTTGATCTTCTTGCCTCAGCCTCCTGATTGCTGGGGTTACGGCCATGTGCCACCATAACCATAAAAGGAAAATAATTGAAGCTTAAGTAACTGTCCTCTTTGTGGTCTTTAAAATACTGAAGTTTCAAGTGTTCTTGAGACAGCATGGCTCAGAGTATCCCAAAGTTACGCTGATAAGGGCCCAATACTTCCACAAGACAGGATGTGTTACAAAATGGATACCAATCCCAGTAAGACTCAAAACAGAGACCAAACACTCATGACTGCTCATGGATGTGTATTTTAATAAAAATAATTCTGTCAAAATACAACAGGAGTTTTTTTCATCTCTCAAGTACAATTTTAATAGGATGTTTTGTGTTGGAATTCTCTCTCAACCCTCCCGCGCCCACAAGTTTCATGCTAATGCCAAGTATCAACTTGGGAGGACAAAGGCAGAACCAGTGTGCACAATGTGGAGGATGTCTGTTTCAGCTGTAGTTACTAATGGAGGAAAAACCCTATGCAAAGAGGTGGGCGCTTGGGGCAGCCAGAAACCACTTTCTGGCTGCAGGTCCAGTACCCAAGACTGGTGGTCAAGTAGGGCTCTGCTGTCCAGCTGCCACACGACATGCATACCTGAGTTGTGAGCAACCAAAGGAACTTTTAGCTCCAACAGTCCTCTGTCTCATCTTTGTGCTTGCTTATGGGCTGGGAAGGTGCTGGGTGGCCAGGAGGTCTCCACTTCTCTATCTTGTGGTATCCCTGTTCTGACGGCCTGCACCCAGCCACAGACCCATGTGGGTGGGAATAGGGAGTTCTGGCTTTAAGTGGTCCACCAGTTTCCACTCTGAAAGGAGCGACCATCTGGTGTCACAAGGGGAAGTAGGGAAGGCTGCTCCCCCAGGACTAGATGACCCCAAAGAGTGAGGAATTCTTCCTAAACCCCACGGGTCAGGTCCAGCCCTTCAACAGGGCTGCTCCCAGGTGCCTTCCACACTGCAGGCTCCTGGAAGCAGGCTGATAGGACTGAGTGTGCATAAGGGGCTCCTTCAGCTGCAGGTAGGCCTGGACTATCAGCAAGACAGTCAGCTCAAGCAGCTTGATTTTGGACCTCTCCACAGGTTGTGGGGCAAAGGCTTATGTTCCAAAGATGAGCTGTCCAATTGGGACAGACAGCCCCTTGGAGAGGAACAGAGTAAACAACATGGACTCAGCTGAAAGTGAGATAAGGCACAGAAAACAGGGAGGTGGTCATGGGTTCTGAGTGTGAGCCAGACACCCAACCCCATGCAGCTCACAGCTGTCCCGAGCCCTCCTGAACCCTCTCTCAGCCTCTCCACAACCCAAATCCAGGTACCCGCTCCCATCCCTGACACACTCCTGGAGGTACCAGCTGCTCAGAGACTGCTGGAAGCCATGCCAACCTAACCCACCTTTCACCAAGCTCATCTACTATTCAACTTCAGGGCTAAACAGTACTGCCCAATCCACAAGGAGTAGGTTAGTCCTGGCTCTGCCACTAATTTGCTTCATGACTTTGGCCAAGTCACTTCATCTCCTGGGACTGTTTATCTGTAAAAGATTGCTAGAGATATTGTTTGAACTCCACTGCAGCTGCAAGAGCCTCTGGTTTTAATTTCCAATCCCAGTAGGTTGACCATTTTAACAGCCTGATGTTCCTAACCTCTAAGTTTGGAGCTTGGTATTCCCAGCCTTGCAGAGGATGAAATTCCTTTATAGACATGACAATACCTCCTGATGTCATGGTCTGTGGGCTTCCAACTGGGCCCCTGGTAGGACCAAGAAAAAGGTGCCTATAGGATTATTCCCAAAGCAAAACTCTGGAAGAACTCAGAGCCAGGCCTTTCACCAGCAGCTGTCCAACTCAGTCATTTTGCTTGTTGTCCAGCTGTGGGCCTTGTGAGGCTTAGTGGGCACAGAGTATCATAGGCCATCCCAAACATTTGCATGTCCACTAACATGGGGCAGGAGCTCACCTAACCCAGTGCAGACAGGGACTGGAAATTCAACTTCTGGCTTTTCCAAGACTGACCCTAACCTTTGTAGGGACTGCTTGGGCTCTCACTCACACTGAAGCAGGTATGGAAATCTCAGCCTCTCCAGATGTTCCTCTATGTAGGCTTCCTCCCTTTCCTCCTCCTAGGTAGCCAGTCTTTTCCTCAATGGTTCACCCAAGTACTGGCAGCCTTCTCATCCTTTCCTGTGGTAGGGAAACAATTTTTGCTCCACCAGCTGTGAGGACCCTTCTGAAACAGCTAGTAGGATGTTCATAAAGCCCATTGGGTCCCTTCCTCTTCCTAGGTTGAGGCCAAGCCATAGGAAGTGGCCTGGTACAGCTGCAGTGAAGCTGGGCCCAGGGGTCAAGGGTTCCATTCACTCCAAGGACGAGCAGCTCAAGAATTTGCCTCCACAAGGTACCGGCTTCTCCATAGAAAGTAGCAATCCCATCAAAGCTGTGTGGCAGAGGTGAAGACCAGGCAGGAAAAAAGCAGTCCCTGTACTCAAGGGCCTCTGTTCTGGCAATGGAGTCTTCCTCCTGGCAGCCTGACACACAGCAGCTCTCAGGTGGAAGGCAGGTAGTTTCCAGGCAATCAGTTGAGAGTAAATGAATTATTTGGCCATCTTAACAACAAGGGAAGGCAGGGCATTGAAGAGATGAGAGAGGGACAAGGCAGGCAGTGAGAGACAGGGTAGAGTGGTAGACAGTGTGCTGGCCAAGGACCCTCTGCTTCCATTTTGCTGTGTGGCCCTGGGCCAACACATCACCTCTCTGGACCCCTGGCTCTGCAGTTCTGGGCTCAGTCAGCTCTCAGAGGCCTAGGGACCTATACCTCTTGGATTACTGCAAACCAGCTTAGCCTGACCCTACCCATCAAGTGGCCCCTAACACCTATTCAGCTTCCCTGGGTGGCAACTGGGCCTATGGCTCAACAAAAGGGGAGCCTAAAATAAATCACTTGGCTGAGGTGACAGAGATGACTCTTTTTTAATGAGTTGGACTCGAATAAAAAAACACATGGTGTCTAGACAACCTCACCCAAGAGGTGCTGGACCACTAATGCTACGATAAATACTGTGTCTTTTTTTAATATATATATTTATATATATAATCTCATTTGTTTTTTTTTTTTTACTTATGAAAATAATAAGCTATCACCAACCTGGATAGGCTTCATCACTAAATTAGCAGAAACCAGCTCAGCACAAACTCTCCCGAGATAAACACTGGTGGCTCAGTCAGGAGGAAAAAAGATTAAAAAACCCCAACCCCTCCTCAAAACAAAACTCCCTTTAAAGGAGAAGGCGCTACATGAGGGTAACCAGCCAATACTGTGTCACAGGCCGCTGCACATGAAGGGGAGAGAAACGGGGTCGGGCGGGGGAGAAGAAAGGAAGGAAGAAAGGGGAGTGGGGGAAAGGCCAGAGGAGTGAACTCTGCCCATGGCTTCCAGGTCCTTGTGCCAGATGCCTATGGAGGGCAGGGCTGCTCTAGCCCTGGGGCTGAAGGAGGGCCAGGTGATGCCTGCCAGCATGGTCAGCTAGTGCAAGTAGTCGTCGACTCTGGCAAAGGAGCAAGATCCCAGGCCTGCTCGGGCCATGAGCCGTAGACATTCAGATGCCTGGCCCAGGGCGAGCATCAGAGGGGGCTGCTTTGGCAGGTTCTGAGACTCTGTGGAGGAGATACAAGGCCCAGTCACTACCCTGCCCAGGGCTTGGGCACAGGTTGAAATTCCCTTGGGGGCGAAAGGTGGGGGAAAATAATAGAATCTTCAAGAACACAGTGTTCAGTGTCTGTGTAAGTGTCTGAGTTACTAAGCCATGGCCCTGCAGTTATACTAGGAACCTGAGGACCTTGGCCTTCTCTAGAACACTGGGCTGGCTTGAGCCCACAATTATGGCCTGACTCATGATCTAGCAACCAACTCAGTTGGATACAGGGTTTACTTTCAGCCCTGGAAGCCCAGGTGTTCAATAAATCATCAGAGAGGGCCTGTGCCTATCTCTCTGCTCTTTCCAGGGAATGATGTGAACAGACCACTATGGGCATTCATGGGTCAGTGTCTGCTTTTATTCCATGCACTCACCTAAAATGGCGCTGTTGAGAGCAGCACACACAGGTTCCCTCTGGATAGGGTCAAGCTGCTGGCCAACTGGGCAGCTCCAGGGGTCTGAGTAGGCCAGTAGGCTGAAGGCATCCTAAGGGACAGGGCACTTTTGAGAGGATTATATAACACACTACATACAACCCCATGGCTCTAGAAGGGGACAGGGCACTTCATGGTGTCCACTGAGTGCTCACCATACTTAGATGTAGAGCCTGAAGAGGATGAGTACACCCTGGACACCCCATTTCTTAATGCAGACCAGACTAGAGACCACTCTGCCCTACGGCTGCTACCCCTGGACCCTCCTAGAGCTACCTTGTTTAAGCACCAAAAGGGGACCTACTCTGTGTGAAGACCTGGCTTGTTCATTACCTGTAGCATCTCTGTGTGGGCCAAATTCTTGCCGTACTCACGGCCCAGCTGTTCACTCAGTGCCTGCAACTCACGGCCAAACAGGATAATCCTTTCTGTGGCAGCCTGGTTGCCCCCACAGAGCTGCCGTCGAGGATGCCCATCATCTGCAACCAGATGCCAACAGAGAACACATTTGGAGGGGTGAGAAGGGAAAGGAAAGAAGGACCCAAGGAAGTTGCAGCTTCTGCTAGAGGCAAGCAAAGGCTAGAAGAGCAGCCAGAACAGAGGTACTCTCATCTACCTTGCCCATAGCCAGGGGGAAAGCTTCACTCTTCTTGCTCTGTACACATACAAGTGTCCATACTCTTGAACTTGCTCCAGCCTGGACCTTTGTACACATCTGAAGCCAACTCAAGGACCTATCCATGACTGGCTAAGAAGGCAGTGGTCCTGATCTGGCTGGAGCTTTTCAAACTGCCAACACCTGTCATCCCAGCCCATTTGGCCAGTCAGGAAACACCATGGTAGCACATGCTAGGGCATATCCCTTACCCATGCTGGATTCATCCGTCTGCAGGTCCTCATGCTTGTAGGCACCATTGACAATGCGTGTGGACATGCTTTCTAGCACACCATTGGGGTAATGCTCTGCCTCCATCTCCATTTCACTGTCGCTGTGGAGAACAGTTGAGGGGAGTTGGCTAAGGGGATGCTGCTGGAGCAGCCTGCTCGCCTCAATGCAGATTTTAACCAGGGTTGCTGCACATAAGCTGAGGGTCACCAGGAGCATGAAGGATAGCTCAAGCTTCCCTGTCTCCAAGACTTGGTTTCTACCACAGCTATTCCCAGAGGCCTGTCACTGACCTCTTCTACATATCTCCCTCATCCCCAATGCCTGGGCTCCACAGGACCCACTGGGAATCTCTGTGGCTTTGGCTTGAAGCTAAACCCTGATGGGCCTTGAGTCATACCTAAGACCTGTTGAAAGCTACCCAGAGCTACAGCCTGCAGCCCATGTGCCCTGCCTGCCAAATGGCTGTGTGGAAGCCAGATCCCACAAAAGCTCCTTCATTATATACTTTGGGGATTCAGAATAGTCCAGCCCCTTTGGAGGAGACCCCTTCTATCTGGCATGTTTAGCACTTCCAGAGAAAGCCAGGTCTAAGGAAACTGGCAACTAAATCTTGAGCAGGCGCAGGAGCCAGAGCCAGTGATTGGTTTGGCAGGTCAACAGCTAGCACTACAGGCAAAGAGCAGTGATGGAGGTGGGGTGAAGGGCAGCGAGAAGTATTCAAAGGACAGACTACAATGGGCCCAGTGGGCAGAGTGGAAGCAGAGCAGAGGGAGTGGAGCAAGACAGGCACCTGGTCTCCTGGTTACTTGTACTGCTGTGGGGCTGGGACTTGGTGGAGTCTGTTGAGTTGGACTCGGAGTAATTGACGGAGGATGGGGAGGAGGAAGACGAGGAGGATGAGGACGAGGAGGAGGAGCTGGGTGCGGGATATTTACTGTGGTTCTGTTTGCTCTTGGTGGACGCGACGCCATTGCTGCAGCTGGGACTGTCTGCTCCTAGAAGTTGGAGATGGTCAGAGGAAGAGGAGCAGCTTGCCATTAAGGTGGGCCCTGGGGATAGCCACAGTAGTTCCCATTCCCTTCCCCCAATCCAGCAGCAGGCAAGACCTGAACCCAGTGCAGGGAAGGGTATGTAGGGTGGCCTTCCTTCCCAGAGCCCTCTGGAGAGTGGCTGACCTGTGTTGTGCATGTGGGAACTACTGGGGCCATGCCGGGGGCTGAGGCTGGGGGAGCCAGGGTAGCTGTCCTGGGACTTGGGGCTTCGGGAGCTCAAGCTGCGGACCTCACTGTCAGTGCCATTCACCATCTCCACAAACTGTCGGCACCTGTAGAAGGAGCAGAGCAGCAATGCTCTGGGCCTGGCCCGGGCTGCAGGTTCCTGAAGCCAGCTGAGGGGCAGAGCTTGAGGACTGGAGGCCTGGACTTACTTGAGCATGAAGAGGAGGTTGGGGTTGTGTTCCAGCAGCCCAGGGTAGAAACGCTGTGTGGTCTCGATGGCCTCGCCCACCCGGCCCTCTAGTACCAGCTTCTGGATCTCTGCAGAGAGCAAAAACATAGCAGTAGTGAATGAAGGCCACAGACTCTCTTCAGAGCACATGCCTGGAACTTGACCAGCCCAAAGCAAGGGCCAGCAGAGAGTCGGATGGGCTGGCTTAGAGAGCCCTGCAGACAGAAGAGAATCAATGCAGACTCACAGAATCAATGGTTGAGGAGAGAACCTGGCTGTCCAGCCCCACAGCAGAGCCTGGTTTCTGCAAAGTCCTCAAAAATAAGGAGAAAATGGAGGGGAACTTGTAGCCCAGAGACAGGTGGTGAGTTTGGAGGCCCACTCCTGTGGGGTACATGTGGTCAGGAACCCAGCTAAGAGAAGGGCCCTAGCTGTAGGAAGGCCTATGATCTGAGGATGGGCACTCAGGTAGCCAGTGGCCTGAGGGCTCTGCTTCTGACAGACTTCATTCTTTCCAGGCTTCACAGGGGAGAAGCAATGGGAGTAAACAGTTTGAGGCCAGAGCCCATGCCTTGGCAGTCTTCAGAGGCTGCAGTGTGCTCCTTTCTGGGAAGGGTGGTCTTTCTCCTTATGCTGGTGCCTCTGATGATGACACCTCTTGGGCCATGAACATCTTGCTATTGCCTTCATGCCTGCTCTGGGGCCTGGTGCGTCTTACTGGGAGTGACTTATGGGTCTGAGGCGCTCTCATTTGTAGATCCCAAGTCTGGGATCCCCTTCGGTCTCTCTGGCTGATACAGCTTCTCTGGGAGACACAGACACACATGCACATACACAGAGACGACATGCTCAGAGAGACGCAGGCAGGCACTCAGACACATACACCCACTCACCCTCATACTCCTCTCCTCCTATCTCCTGTGTGGGCTCTCTGTGTCTTGTCCCACCCCTCCTTCTATGAAAGGGCTCCAAAGACACAGTACATAGGCCTGCATGAGCATCAGGAGACATGCCTTTGGCCATGGAAGAGCTAGGTTATCTGCAAAGGGCAGGACCAGTGATGGGGAGAAAAGAGAAGCACTACCACAGCAGCCACCAAGCATCAGCTTCACCCTACCTGACCATTCAGTGCTCTCTGGTTACAAACAAGCAGAACTACTAAGGTTGAATAAATAAATAGTAGGAAAGGCAGGGAGTTGGTCTGATAAGATGCAAATACTCTTTCTGAAAGACCCTGAATAGGAGGCTGAGTGGAATCCAGGACTTAGCAATATGCAAACAAGCATGGAAGAATGGTATCTAGCCACGCCAGGGCCCACTCTGGACAGTATGAATTAAGGAGGCTGCTTTGAGACCTTCTCAGGTCTGGGCAGTGTTTTTTTAAAGGACAGAAGCAGGGCCTAGAGCTCGCCTAGGGTGGAGAGCTAGTCTTCAAAGTGGTGAGGACCAGAGTAAATAGACTCCTGAGAGGTTAACCAGGGATGGAATGAGCCAGACAGCAGTTAGGGACAGGTAAGGAAGGAAAAGGGAGAGGAGAATTAACCTTACTTTGTCTGTTCTTTATGGACGTCTGTTCTTCCTGAATCGGGGTTTCAGTCATTCGAGCAAAGGCTGTGGCTGTGGCACAATACCCATGATGCACCAGGTAAGATGAGACCATGCTAGAAAAAAGGAAGAGCTCAAGGTGACACTCAAGAACCACATTTCTCACTAACCACTTGATGGTGCAGACTACTCCCCAAGAGCTTTGCCTAGATACATCTTAGAGGTACAACCGCTACAAAAACTGAAGGAATGGGAACAAAATGAAATTTTCCCATAGTGTTCATGCCATCAGGTGGGACATAATCTGTTTTCACACTGCAGAGAAGTGGCTGCCCCCAAGCTTACAGACACAGCTGCCTACTAATGAAATGCAAGCTCAGAGGTGGCTGATGGTCTCACCCAGGGCTTCCTGAAATGGCAGCCAGCCAGGCAGTGTGGCAGCTGCCCTGACACAGAGGATGTGTGGCAAATGCACACCTGCCACACATGCAAGGGCTATTCTGCAGCTGCTGGCACTAGCCAGAAGTGTTCCACTCCCCTACTGATACTGTGCCCCTTGGCAGCACTGGCTCTAGAGTGATGGGAGCTAAACCAGGAGCCAGGTTGCTCCATGCTGTACTATAGATCAGGGGCTCATGATGCCAAGATATCAGGCTGATTTTGCAAGGGAGGGGCAGGCACAATCAGGGCCAACAGGAACACAATCTTTGGGAAAGGACCTAATGCCCAGTGATCATTTAACCCCATTTAAAGCTGGCTGAGAAGTGACACATACATGTGTGTATATGCACATGTATGCAAATGTGTAGAGCAGAAGGATAAACTCCCATGTCTGATGTGTACAGGAGTGAATACATAGGGGTATGTGTACATCTGATAATTATCTTTTTAATTCTTAATTTTATTAGTATACAGTTGAAGTAGATAATTATTACATTCATCATGGGAAGCTGGTACATGTACATAACGTATCATAAGTTTTTGTTTGTTTGGTTTGTTTTCCAGACAAGGTCTCACTATGCAGTTCAGGCTGGCCTTGAAGTGACTATGTAGCCCACACTGTCCTCAAACTTCCACCTCAGCCTCTGAGTGCTGAGATTACAGGCATGTACCATCATGCCCAACTAGTCATTACTATTATTAACACAAATATCCAAAGGGTGGTTGTGTGGGAGGCGTGGAAGTTTGGCTGTGTGTTGCTTATGTTTTAATAAGTAAATGAGATAATACAAGTAAAGTGTTTGGCACCAAGGAAGAACTACCATACATACAACCTCTTATGAAAATATTTATTATATAATAGTACATT